CCCTGTAGTCTGATTTTCCTATTTAAGGACCATCTTCTGAATTTTATTTTTTTTTCTAAATCCAAGGAATTGGGGTAAGAGTGGGATCTACATTTGTGTTTGGAAACAAGAGAAGTAAGAAGAACTTAAATTAGCTTGCTAACATTTTTTTGCCATTTTCCTTCTTAATTATTTATGTATCAATTAGTAATACATATCAACTACGTTCTCATTGTTTGGTCTGAGATAAATCCCTGTGGGATAATGGGCTGTCCTTGCTCCAGTTAGTGTTCAGCCCATGGTGGTGAGGTCTGTTGTGGAGAGATGAGTACCCCCTGTACTCAGGAAGGCCGAGTTAGGATGCTTAGTGCAGAGTTAAGGTGCATAGAGGCACATTAGCTCATGATCTTGGCTCTTGTTCAATAATATTGATGTTTCTTCTTGAGATTGCTCAAAGTTCAGATTATTGTGTGCATCGCTTTATAGTTCTTGTTTAGAGACTCAAGTCTTGTTTTCTTCTCTTGCAGGCCAGACCCAGGATCTAGTCAGATTAGATTGTGCTTGCAGGTTCTGAAAGCTGTCCAGAAACTGGCTCGTGAGTCGACAATTATGGCAAGAGAAACCTGGGAGGTTTTGTTATTATTTCTTCTTCAGATCAATGACACTCTTCTGGCAGCTCCAACTGTGCAAGGTTCATGTTCAACTTCCATGTGCTTCAATTATTGGAAAAACTGGCTCTCCTTGATGTTGAGCTACCAGGGGGGTGGTGGGAACCTGTTAAAAGCTCCTAGTAGCCACTGAAGTGCTATGACTTGCCCCTAATTCTGCTGCATTACTTTGAAGTGAAGCATTGTCACAAAAGACTGAATGACTTGGAGTTCTAAACAGATTTTTGCCAGTGACTCTGTATGGGAACAGTTCATGCTGAAGAGTTTCAGATAATGTTGTTCCCTATTTATTTCACTGAAACCCATTCATGTCTTGCTGTTTGCTGTGCCTACTGGAAATCATACTGTCAGTTTATACCTTTTTTTTTTTTTTAAAGGCATCAATATAATAGTGTGGTAGAAGACAACCTATATCAGTGAGTTCACAGGCTCCCTTAGTGACACGTGTGTGGCTTGGCTTTATATGTTACATTTGGTCTTGTAAAAAGGCTAATTGGCTGTAGGAAGCAATCAGGAGTCACTCTTAAATGAAAAAAAATAAGCGTAAGAATCTTTCTGCACTTAAACTGAAATGTTCTTGAGGAGATATTTTAAGCTATTTGGATTGATTACTCACTAAAGGCACACTTTATTTCTCTTCTAAGGTGGCATTGCTGAGAGTCTGGCTGAAAAATTAATTGGTGTGCTGTTTGAGGTGTGGTTACTAGCTTGTACGCGGTGCTTCCCGACACCACCTTACTGGAAAACTGCCAAAGAGATGGTGGCCAACTGGCGACATCACCCTGCAGTCGTTGATCAGTGGAGCAAGGTCATCTGTGCCCTGACTTCCAGGTGGGTGAAATCCCATGGAAATAAATACGTGGATGGGGATGATCATGGTTATACCTGTTTTTTCTCTGGGGTCACTTACTTATGGAACACTCGGCAATCCAAAAGTGAATGAGCAACACGAAGTGAGAGATCTTGCTGGTATCCTTGGCTTTCACTGTGTGTGTCTTCATTCTGCAAAGGAAGAGCTGAATTGGGTTGTGTCTGTCATTCTGTAATCTCAGTGTCTCTGATACTGAGTGGGTTACAGTGTGTGTATTAGTCTCCATCACTGTGACTCCTTGTGTCCTGTGAAGAGCAAGTCATGAATATTAGTGTAGCATTATAGTCTGTGTGCTTAGTGGCAGTCACCACCAGAAGTATTAGGTGCTTGTTACTACTGCATGTTGCTGTATTTGAGATGACTCTTGGCCTCTGCTTCTGGAAGCAGTGACAATCTGTGGGCTGCAGGAGAGGTCAGGCTTTAGCAGAAGGTCCTTTTCTGCTGGGCAGCTCCAGCCACTCTGCCCCAAGCCTGTAGTGTTGCCTGGGGTTGTTGTGACCAACATGCAGGACCCTGCACTTGGCCTTGTTGAACCTCATCCCATTGGCCTTGGCCTATCGATCCAGCCAGCCCAGGTCCCTCTGCAGAGCCTTCCTGCCTTCCAGCAGATCAACACTCCCACCCAATCTGGTGTTGTCTGGACACTGGCTGAGGGTGCCCTCCATCCCTTCATCCAGATCATGGATAAAGACACTGGACAAGACTGGCCCCAGCACTGAGCCCTGAGGGACACCACTGGT